TATATATATATATATATATATACACACACACACATGTATTTTTAAACATTATATTATTTTGTTGCAACTGTATTGCTGATTTTTATTTCAGTATTTTTATTATTTAATTTTATGCAAAATATAAACAATTATAAATATTTTTTTTTATCCAGAAACGTCAAAGTATTGTTTTGGACAATAAATACTGTAATTAATACATTTACGACATTTAAAATAAAATAAAATTACAGTGTTTAAAACAAGTGTGACAACTTGCCCCAACTTATAATTCTCTTGTCCTGAGGTCATATTTTTCCTGCTGGTTTGAGTATATTATACAGCTGACTTTTATCTTTAGCTATTTGCATTGCAAAACATGTTTTGAAGTAGAAGTTTGAAACAATATAATAGAAAGTGTAGCTGTTATGTAAGTGAAGTTTTGAGCTGTACTCATGTCGATGGATGAAGCACAACTTATAATTCTCTTGTCCTACAATCAGCGTTTTTCCTGCTGGTTTATATTATACAGCTGTCTTTTATCTTTATGTATTTGCATTTTAGATCAGAATTCATAATCTTGAGCTGTTTTTAACTAGATGTTTGAAACAAAACCACAGCTACACTCTAAAAAATGCTGGGTTAAATACAACCCAGTACTGGGTAAAACAGGGACAAACCCAGCAATTGGGCTTTTTTGACCCAGCGGTTGGGTTACTACCCAGAAGGTTGGGTTAAACATTTAACCCAACCGCTGGGTCAAAACAAAATGCTTGGTTAAATACAACCCAGTGCTGGGTAAAATAGGGACAAACCCAGCAATTGGGTTGTTTTGACCCAGCGGTTGGGTTAAATGTTTAACCCAACCTTCTGGGTAGTAACCCAACCGGTGGGTCAAAACAACCCAATTGCTGGGTTTGTCCCTATTTTACCCAGCACTGGGTTGTATTTAACCCAGCATTTTTTAGAGTGTATAGAGAAACTAGCTCTTATGTAGCCTAAGTGAAGTTTTGATCTATACCTGTGTATATGATCTCTAATAGAAAGATGAAGCGGTAATAAACAGCTGTTTTTAATCACTCTCATTCTGACAGCACTGTAATATTATGTTAATAATATTATATTGTGTATATTATGACCCAGCTTGTTGGGTTTTATACATGAACCCATTTGCTGGGTTGTTTTTGGACAGTGCTGGGTCAGAAGGTTTTTCATAGAAATGCACTCTAAAATCTGTTTTATCCAGGACAAGAACTGTTCATATACAATATCTTTTTTATTCAATGTCAAGTCAGTCTTTTACAATCATAAAATCTTCAAAAACATTCAATAAAGGTTGTAGGACGTGACAGGGGCAGCCAATGGGAATCTGTGGTTAGAAAACTGCTGCCATAGGCTTAATTAAATGACTTATATTCATGACTTATCTTGTATTCATGTTTGAAAAGTTACCTCAAAAACAGTTTTATGCCATCTTGTCTGTCAGACATTTAAGTTTCAGTCAGAGGAGCGCAGTGATTCTTTTGAATCGCTTCTTTTTAGTGAACCGGTCGAACCGGTTCACCAAATCAGAATGAATCGTTTGAAACAGTTCGAATCTCCAGTAAGCACTGAGCCACACATTACTTAAATGACTCACTTTCTTTCTGTCTTTCCCCTCAACTGTATCGTAAAATGGTTCGTTAATTGAAGCTTTTCAACACGTTGCACATTAATGACATCTTGTGGTCAAAAGGTGCCAAGTCATGTTTGGACTGTTTCATAAAATAAATCAATTTGTGCTACAAAAATCATATAAAGCATAAAAAAAAAAAATGTCATTGTACTTACACAAAGTATGAATAAATGAGTCTGCGAATAAATTAATGAAAAAAAATAAAATAAGCATGGCTCATGTTAATCTTCATTTATTTTGATCATACACTAAAAAATGCTGGGTTAAAAAGGGACAAACCCAACTATTGGGTTGTTCTGACCCAGCGGTTGGGATGTTCTGACCCAACTATTGGGTTGTTCTGACCCAGCGGTTGGGATGTTCTGACCCAACTATTGGGTTGTTCTGACCCAGCGGTTGGGATGTTCTGACCCAACTATTGGGTTGTTCTGACCCAGCGGTTGGGATGTTCTGACCCAACTATTGGGTTGTTCTGACCCAGCGGTTGGGATGTTCTGACCCAACTATTGGGTTGTTCTGACCCAGCGGTTGGGATGTTCTGACCCAACTATTGGGTTGTTTTGACCCAGCAGTTGGGTTCAAAACAACCCAACCGCTGGGTCAAAACAACCCAATAGTTGGGTTTGTCCCTTTTTAACCCAGCATTTTTTAGAGTGTATATGCCTGAGCCATGCTTATTGTTTCATAAATGACTCATTTATTCATATTTTGTGTAAGTAAAATGCTTCATTTCACCATCACTACTAAAAAATGCTGGGTTGTTTCAACCCAGCTTTTGGGTCAAATATGGACTAACCCAACTTTTGGGTTAAAAGTGTAATTTAAAAATTTAACCCACCAGCTGGGTTAGTCCATATTTGACCCAAAAGCTGGGTTGAAACAACCCATCATTTTTTTTAGAGTATACAGTAATAATTTGATAGGAATACACTGTAATACATGCCTTAATTTCATCATTCGTTCATCATTTATTGACAGTAAAAATAACCCAGCAGCTGAGTGACAGAAAAACTACCCAGCACCTGGAATATTAAATATCACCCAATAAAATGACCCAACAGGCTGAACCTATAGTGTTTGGGTAAAAAAAAATAACCCAGCATTGTTTTAGAGAGGCTGTACAATAACAAAACACCATAATATTAAAATGTAAATTACTTTATTTTTCACATTACCACCACAACGAGAGTTTTGCTTTTAATTAATTAATTTTAGAATGCATTAACCACAATAATGAGACATGCAGATAGAGTTTTATTTCTGTTTATGGTTTCCATTAAAATGAGAGTGCATCATGCAGTCAGTCAGTCGAGTAAATCCAGATGTGCATCTGTTCAGAGCTGAGGAACACCAGCCACCATCTCACTCTCAAACCCACATTCATCACGGCCTCGCAGGATCTTAAAATAACCTGCAAACACAGAGATTTACTCTGACTGCAGTCCCACAGCTGTGAGACTTTCAATTACATGCTATTATTAGATTGTCTGTTTTCATTTTCATTTCAGCTAAAGTTTTAATCATTTATAATATATATATATATATTTTTTTTTGACATTTTATTCGTTTTGCTGTTTTTAAATGCCTATATAATTTTTTTATTTCTGTTTTAGTTTTAGTTATTTTAGTACATCAAGATAAACTAAGTGAAATGAGAAATGCTGCCTTGTCAGCTATAGCTGAAATAAAATAAGTTAAAGCAGCACTATGTAACTTTTGGCGCTCTAGCGGTTAATAAACAGAACTGCACACAACCCGCGGAAGAACATTCCGACCGGAGCTACTTCTCTAAGTTTATGTCTGTGGCGATTCACGCAGGTATGTGTTACTCCGCAGCGGTGACCAGGCTGCAATAGTCCAAATATAAGTACTTATTATAAGTGTACCGGAGTGATTCGGAATAAGACAAAAACGCGCTTTGGAAGATGAATTCATGATGTACTCGCTCATTATATACATTTAGCAAATTTGAACACAGAAAAAGTTACATAGTGCTGCTTTAATGTTTTTTGTATTTATTTTAGCTTAGTTTCAGTTTTTTAGTTAACTATAATAACCCTGTCCCAGACATAAGATCTGTGTTATATGGAAAAACCAACCTATTTTCCAAAACATTAATAATACATTTAAATAATAAGTTATTATAATTTTAATTAATCAATACATTATTAATTAATTAATTAATTATAATAATGCATTATCATATTTATAATAATTTATTATCATTATTAATGAATTAGTAAAATTTGAACTGTATGGAAAAACAAACATTTTCCACAATATTAATAATAATGTATTATTATAATTTTATTAAGAACTCATAAAATTTACAACTATCTTTATTTAAATGTAATATGTTTTATTTATTTTAATATATTTCTAATGAATTTATTTTATATTGTATGTTATTTTATTCTAGGTCTGCAACTTAGAAATGTTCAAAAGAAACTCATAAATTCTACAACTATTTGTAGAACTATATTATAAATATAATTTTTTATATTTTTTTTATTTTTT